TTGCCCTTTGTGGCCTCGCATAATCAGCCCTTCGTACCCCCCGCTCGTTCGCGCCCCTCGTGGCCCCATACGCATGCCCTTCGTGGCTCCGCTGTCGCCCTCTGTGGCTCCCTTCCTCCTTTTCGTGGCCCCGCTGTCGCGCTCGTTCTCGCTCTCGCTCTCTCCTTTCGCTTGTCGTCGTCGTCGTCGTCGCCATCGTCGTCCGTCGTCGTCGTCGTCGTCGTCGTCGTCGTCGTCGTCGTGGTCGGTCCCCTGTCTGTCCCTCTTGGGGTCGGGTTGCCGCCGATCAGCGCTGCAGCTGGCCAGGCAGAAAATCCGCGGCCGCCTAGCCGTTTGTTGGGGCCCAGGCTGCAGGAAAGAAGTCTATACCTCCCCCAAAGGGGGGCGATCGAAGACAAAGGGAGCGGGTATCGAGGGTTTGGAAAATACGCGTTGACGGACACTTGAGCAGATATGATCGAGCAGTCTCAGACACATTTTTGTCTCTTCCGTTTTTGTTGCTTTGTCGTTTTTGTGCTTGTTGTCGATGTTGATGTTGTTGTTGCTGCTGTTGTTGTTGTTGTTGTTGTTGTTGTTGTTGTTGTTGTCGTTGTCGTTGTTGTTGTTGTTGTTGTTGTTGTTGTTGTTGTTGTTGTCATTGTCGTCGTCGTCGTCGTTTTCGTTGTCGTTGTTGTTGTTGTTGTTGTTGTTGTTGTTGTTGTTGTTGTTGTTACTGTTAGTGTTGTTGTTGTCGTTGTCGTCGTCGTCGTTGCTGTCGTTGTTGTTGTTGTCGTTGTTGTCGTTGTTGTTGTTGTTGTTGTTGTTATTGTTGTTATTGTCGTTGTTGTTGTTGCTGTTGCTGCTGCTGTTGCTGCTGTTGTCGTTCTTCTTCTTCGCCTTCTTGTTATTGTTGTTGTTGTTGTTGTTGTTGTTGAACATTATTCCTTCTAAAGAATTATTATTGTTGGGACCCCTGGTGCGCGACCTCTGCGCCGCGCCTAGGCCGCAGCTGCATTTTCATCATTTTTTCGCGAAAGCTTCAGAAAAGTGGATGAGCTCCGGATCCGGTTTTTTGTTGACGCTCGTTTTCCCTTGCAAAAAACAATAGAAAATGAAAATTCTTGTTTTTACTTGATCAAATTGCAAGAATCCCTTGCAAAAAATAAGGTAAAGTGGACATTCGTGCGCGCAAGACCAAATCCTTCCAAAACCTTAGGTTTCGTAGCGATTTTAACATACAAACATCAAAAACCCAATGGTTTTTTAAGAACAAATTGTCAACATGTCCTTCCGCGCGCTCTTGCGGATTCATAGGAAACACACCACTTTTTAAACATTTCTGTCAAAAGGGTCTTTGCGTGCTACTTCTTCAGGTGCTTTGAACTTCTCCAACAACGGTTGCGCGCCTGCGAGGGCCACCATCCCTTGCAAAAAACGAGACGAAGTGCACATGCGCGCGGCCGCCGCGCGCGCATGTCGAAATCCTGCCAAACACAATGGGTTTTCAATAATTTCAAGATGCGATGTTCAGAAAACATATGAAAACGCACTACTTTCTCATCCGAAAAATCTCGAAATCCATTCGCGGTCTCTTGATGAATCTTTAAAACCCGAACTGTATAACATCAGTGTAACACATGTACTTCTGTAATCGCATCCCCACGAATTTGCCCCAAAAATGTGACCAACTATCTTGGCACTGCGTACCATCTCACGTGGACCGTGTACCACATCATATGTAACAGATGTGATCAACCTCTGTGGGTGTGTACCCCACGCCAGTGTAGTAGCCAGGGTCGTCCGCACGCCACGAAGTGAAGTGTCCCAACGTCATAGGGCGGGAAGCTGGGTGTGGGTGGTCTCGAAGAGTCGTTTTGGATATTTGGTAGAGCTTGAACGGCCCCCCCACGAAGTGGGGGTATTGGCTGGTGTCGCAAGAAAACCCTGGCACTGGGGAGAACACTGAGCGTTCGGGTAAAATGATTGTTGTTGTTGTTGTTGTTGTTGTTGTTGTGGTTGAGTTCTCATTTCGGAAGAATAATTATTGTTGATCCCCCCACCGGTGCATATGGTTTTTTCTCAATCAAAATGTGCCCCTCGACGCTCGCACCCTGTTTTTTGACGGGGAATGTCTTCCTGCTCAAACTGGGCCCCTGGCCCCCGGGTTGCAACAACAACGGCTCCCGCCTGAGACTTCCTGACAATTTAGCCAGGACCCCCGCTCCCGCCTGAGACTTCCTTGCATTTCATTCAGGAATCGCGCTCTCGCTTGGGACTTCCTTACAATTTATTGAATCGCTTCGCTCATTCCGGCGGCCCATAGTGTAGCGTCGCTGGCAGTTGCTTGCGTGTTGGGGGGGGCATTTGGGTGGCCTCCTGGGGCCGCTTGGGGGCCTCTTGGGGGCCTCCTGAGGGCCTGTTGGGGGCCTCTTGGGGCCTCTTAGGGGCCTCTTGGGGCCTCCTGGGGACTTCTGAGGGCCGAGGGCTCGAAACATTGTTTCGTGTTCCCCCCCTGGTGTCCCTCTTGGGGCGTTCTTGGGGCCCTCTTGGGCCGTCTTGGAGGCCTCTTGGGCCGTCTTGGAGCCCTCTTGGGCCGTCTTGGGGCCCTCTTGGGGGCC